CACGTTGTTGGGGGGTGAAATCTGTCTTAAAGAGATTTACCTTAGCATACCTCGCTTCATCTTCTATTTTTATTTTCTATTATTTTTCTTTGTTCTTTTGATTGCGTTAGTCGAATTTCCGACAACATGGAAGCTGTAAGAAACCAGTGCCACGCCCAATGTTTTTCATTGTGGGCTGATTTTAGTATTATAGATTTTTGTGTCTGCGTGTATATATATTTCTTGATCGCCCATACAAATAAGGCATTTCCTTTGAAGTACATGCCAAGAAATCAAAAGGTGTTATCAAAATATGGTGCATGGTTCCAACTTGTGCCCTCGTCCAATTATTGCTGATAATCTTTCTTTTAATTTTCTGGTACTTTTGCGTTGAATGTCACATGGCCATTAGAGCATTTATTTCTACTTTGTGCTTTTACTGATCAATGACTTCTTGAACGTGCGTAGGTGAGTAATTTGGGTTACTCTAATTATAATTATTTTACTCAATCACTAGATATGTATAGTATTAATTACAATGAATTTAGATCACAACGGAATGCAACAATGGTTGGCAAGTGTTTATAAACACACTAAAAGTAAAATCATTTTTAATCTACATATTTCATTATTAGAATTAAATGAGTCATATCTTTTTGCATGTGTATAGTTAGAGGGAGAGGGGGAGGGGAAAGGGGGGGAGGGGTGAACTGCATCCTTGGAGGCCCCCACCTGCCCTGGGCCTTAGTAAATGAGGTAAATTGCAGGTTATGCCTCCGAGGGTACAGGGTAAAAGGCTGCTTATACTCTTGCACTTACCTAAAGGTCAAATCCATATTTTAGGATTCAAACCCTTGACGCGGCAGCTTCAAGCAAAGCTGGAGTTTTTCCACCTTCCCCTTCTACCACTTGGAGATGTGCCCTCGAGGCTGCATGTGTATAGTTAGTTAGTTGGTTTGTTGGTTTGCTAATTAGTTCACTACCTCCAACTGGTAATTGGTTAGCACAACCGGCATCTTCTTTCTTTTTTGTCTATTTATACACACATTGTAAATTCATTTTGTATTCGAATCTCTTGGATGAAATGAAATTCAATTAGGGCAATTCCCTTCTTTCATTCTAATATGGTATTAGAGCAAATTATTCATAACTTGCTCATCGCCTTCACTGATTTCACTTCTTTACCATTCTAATATGATATCAGAGCAAAATTATTTATAACTTGCTCATCACCTTCACTGATTTCACTTCTCTGCCACTTTCGTTTTTCGATTGACATTCACCATGGAATCATTGCATCTAGAGAACAATTCTGATTCGAGGTCTTCCATCAGCAAAACTGTCATTGATGAACCTTCCAGTCCTTTCTTGTTACATCATTCGGACAACCAAAGTTTGGTGCTTGTTTCTAAACAACTCACAGGAGATAAATATGCCTCTTGGAGTCGTGCAATGACGATTGCTTTATTAGTTAAAAACAAGTTGTCCTTCATTGATGGATCTATTCAGAGACCAGAAGTTGCAAATTCTGATATGGTTAATTCATGGATTCGGAACAATAATATGTGATAACTTGGACTTTCAATTTTGTATCAAAAGACATCTTAGCCAGCGTGATCTATGCAAGTACGACATATGAAATCTGGAATGATCTTAAGGAGAAATATCAGCAAACTAATTGACCGAGAATATTCCAGTTGAGGAAGGAATTGATGAACCTCAGCCAGGATCAAAACACTATCAGTGTGTATTTCACTAAACTCAAAACCATATGGGAGGAATTGAGTAATTTTCAACCTAGTTGTAGATGTGGGAAATGTACTTTCGAAGGTGTTAAGGAGCTGAATAACCATTACCAGATGGAATACATTATGTCATTCCTTATGGGACTGAATGACTCATTTTCTCAAGCTAGAGGGCAAGTGTTGCTGATGTATCCTTTACCTCATATTAACAAAGTCTTCGCACTGATTTCTCAGGAGGAAAATCAGAGAAAAATAAGTATACAGTCCATTGGATCTGATCCCACTGGAGCTTCTACCTTTACCTTTGGAACTGCTAGTTCCAAAAACGTTATTCAATCCAATCCTCGTAATAATTTTTCAAGGGTTAACACTTCCAATTTTAAAAAGAATGAATTGCCATATTGTACTCATTGCAAATACCAGGACATTCGGTGGATAAATGCTATAGAATCCATGGTTGTTCACCTGTTTATAAGCCAAGGACTAGAGAAAATTTCCACAGTTCATCTACTTCTAGTTCTGTTAACCACTTTTCTGCCTTTGTTCCTCAACAGGATGTTAGTAAACAAATGGATCAGCAGCTTGGTATTGGAGAATTTGTGCAGAATTTGAACTCCAATCAATATTAATAGCTCATGTCAATGCTATCATCTCACTTTGCTTCAAATGCAAATTGCACTTCAAATGTTTAAGGGAAAAATGCTTCTTTAGGTATATGTTATTCAGTAACCATCAATCCTGCTTTTGCATCCAATGATCAGTGGATAGTAGACACAGGGGCTACCAAACATGTGTGCTTCATTGCTGATGCTTTTGTGAGCTTGAGACACGTTGGTAATCCAAGCATCATTTTACCTGATCACACGCGTATTCCAGTCAACCTTTGTGGAAATATTAGACTCAGTTCAAAATTAATATTGCATGATGTTCTGTTTGTGCCTCAATTTAAGTTCAATCTGTTATCAGTGAGTACAATAACCAGTGGATCTCAACTTCCTTTGACCTTCTTTCATGATCAGTTCATTATTCAAGAGTGAGCAACCAGGAAGATGATTGGCAGGGGTGATAAAATCCAGGATTTATATATTCTTGACACTAAAAACATTAATTTTGATTGTAATGCTTTTGTTGGTAATCTGCCTGCCCATAGATGGCATAATAGACTTGGTCATCTATCTTTTAAAAGGTTAGATGCGTTGAATGATCAATTGTTATGTGATTTTGTCAAAATAAATTCAAATCTTCCTTGCTATATCTGCCCTTGCTAAGCAAAGGAGATTATCCTTTGATCTGGTGTATTGTGATATATGGGGTCCCTATCACGTTTCATTTAATTTGGGTTACAGATTTTTCCTGACTTTGGTTGATGATTGTTCAAGATTCACCTGGGTATATATGTTAATGTATAAATCTGATGTTGTAAATGTCATCCCATGATTTTTTGCTATGGTGGCTACTCAATATAATGCTAACATCAGGAAGTTTAGATCAAATAACACCACTGAATTATCCTTCAAAGATTTTTTTTGCTGAAAAAGGGGTTATCCATATGCTTAATTGTGTTGCAAGACCACAACAAAAATTTGTAGTTGAACGCAAACATCAACACCTTTTAAATGTGCCTTGAGCCTTATTTTTTCAATCTAGAGTGCCTGTCAAATTTCGGTCTGAATGTATAATGACAGCAGCCTACTTTATCAACAGAACTCCATCCCCTCTTCTTTAACACAAAACACCTTATGAGGTACTCCATGGAAATCCTGCCAATTATGCATTCAATAGAGTTTTTGGTTGTCTAGCATTTGCCTCTACTCTCACAGCTCACATGAATAAATTCCAACCACGAGCACGACCTTGTGTGTTCTTAGGATATCTTCCTGACATCAAATGCTATAAGCTTCTTGATGTAACTTCAAAACAACTTTTTATCTCAAGAGACGTTATATTCCATGATGATATCTTTCCATTTCATGCTATCATGGAAGCTTACAAAATAATGAACCCCTTTCCCGATTTAGTCCTACCAATCCCTTCATTATCCACTCAACATGATGGCACACTACAACCATATACTCCTTTTCCCCAAGTTGACTCTTCTCCTCTTAGTTCCCATTTCTTTGTACCGCCTGTCGCTTTACCTGATGCTCTACTTCTGAGGCTCCAGCTGAAGTCTTACAAAATAATGTCAACCTTCAAAAATCCTAGAGAACTTCAAAAACTCCAACATATCTCAAAGACTTTCGTTGCAATCTGA